ACTTATTATTACTTATTTTATAGTTAATATGTTATATAATTAATTTTTGGTAATTAATCTTTAACTAAATAATTAATTACTATATTATTTATTATTTTATTAATAAAATTAAAAACTTAATAGTAATAAATTAAAATTTAATTAATAATAAGTAATTACTATCTATTTATTAGTTATTAAGTATATCTATTTATTAATTATTAGTTAATAATTAAGTAATTATTATCTATTTATCAGTTATTAAGTATATCTATTAACTAGTATATAATATAATTAGTAATTAATAATTAATAATTTAATATAAATTTGTTGATAAACATTAGAAAATAAAATCGAAAAAGGGAAAATAATTTTCAATCGTTTTCTACTTTCTTCACAAAATTCATTCTCATTTTTTTTGTTTTCGTTTTCGTTTTCAAAACTTTTATTAAACAAACGCAATTTGGAGACTGTTTTCGTTTTCGTACCTCAAAAGACGTGCAGAAATACATTTGAAAATAATTTCAAATGTACCCAAAATATCATTCTCATTGTTTTTTGTTTTCATTTCCGTTTTCAAAACTTTTATTAAACAAACGTAATTTGTAGATCGTTTTCATTTCGTACCTCAAAAGATGTGCAAAAATGTTTTCAAAAATAATTTCAAATGCATTCAAAATATCACTTATTGAAGATTGAGGGACCATTGTTGCGATATTTCTTAAAATTAAGAGAGCACGGACTAAGCAGTAATCTACTAGACAATTCTTGACAAATGTGCCAAAATACTGCACCTTGTTTTTAGCCATCGAGAGAAATTAGAGGCCCGTTTAGTTCGTTTATTCGAGTTAAGATGTGTGATATTTTTTAAAATTAAAAGAGCACGAACCAAGTAGTAATCTACTAAACAATTCTTGAAAAATGTGCCAAAATACGCACCTTTTTTTAGCCCTCAAGAGAAACTAAAAAGATGAAAGTCATGGTGCTCTACTGCTCCCTACAAAAGCACTTTTTTTTAAAACTTTCCTACTCTGTTGATAATGCCATGTCACGTGCAAATTTTGTGTTTAAAATTGTCAATTTAATGATGCTATCAACTATTGGACCTTAGTTGTTATAATTTGAAATTTTAATTTATATTTTGCTAAAATTAAAAGTTTAGGGGTTATTATGTATTCATTAATTCAAATTTTTAATTCGAATTGATATGTGATTTTATATTAAAGTTTTTTATTATAATAAAAAAATTAAATATAATTATTTTTAAATTTTTTTTACTATAATAAAATTTAAAATTTAAATTTTAATTGATAAAATGAACGGATCTTAAATAATTTAAGGAGCAATTTGTACAGGTTATTTTATTTTATTTTTTTTTTTAAAGCACTCGATAAAAAGTGTGAACCTGCACAACATGGTGCTCCTTCCGAAAACAACTTTATAACTTTCCCGCCCTCTTTGTAAACGAAAACCAAAAATCGCTAAATTCGAAAACTCAGAAGAGATAAAACTTTCTCATAAAGCCCTAGCCCGATTCCCAAACCGCCAAATTACGCCGGAAAATGACGTCGTGGCAGATAATTTCCGGCTACGGGAACAGCTTCCGGTGGGAAATCACCGGCCAAGACTTCGGAGCCGAACCCGAAGACGAACGGAGTGATTTTCCCCAATCTCATGTACAGAAAGCGTACAACTCGAGCTCGCGTCTTTCTTCAATGACTGACCTTTTGCTTCAAGGTAAAATATTTGATTTTTGTTTTTTGTTTTTTTTTGGCGATTTATGGTTGCGTCTCTTGTAGCTTTATCCTTCGATGATACTTTGTTCGGTACAGGATGTTCGAAGCTTCTGGAGGATGATAATGATGAAGATGTCGAGAAAACTCCGTTGTTCAAAACTGGACTGGGAAGATTTGTTCCGGTGAAACAGTCTTCCATTACCAAGGCATTGTCGGTTCTTGGCGACGATTCTGTAACTGATACAGGTTTCTTTTCTCTTTCTCTTTCTTATTTTTTTTTCGGTTCATTTGTATGATTTGTGATCCCTTATAGTCGTTTTTTTTTTAAAGAAAACTTCTACTGTAGTGGCAATCGGACGGAGGTGCTGTATAAGAACATGCGGGGAAATTTGTCTGATTGTATATGTGTTATACCAATCTATTTCCCTTTACAATATTCTAAAGGGAAAGATAAGATTCGGAATGAAAAACAAATATGGTTCTCAATGAATGAATAGTAGGCTTGACTGACTTGAACAATGCTGAAGAACTCAAAACCAAGTGGATTCCTATCATTGCTTGACAATTAATTTGGTTTCTACTTTCTAAGCAACTGAAACAAACTATGTTATAGCACTAAACGTAGAATCATATTTACAAATCATATAATATGGGTCTGCGGTCTGCCAAGTTTAGTTTCTGAACAAGTCACCAATTTATAGTCTTTTGAATGTTTTGTGTAGGTCAAATTCAAGCTAGGGATAATGTATGTGATTTCCCTAATTCCCTTTTCCAGACGGGCTCTGGGAAAAAGGTTAATATTTCTTCAGATGGTCTAGCCAGAGCAAAGACCTTGTTGGGATTGGTCGAAGAGAGTGACCCTTGCAATTTTCAGGGTTTTCGAAATTCGAGGAAGTCATCTAATATTGACTCTAGTTTTGGGTGGCCAAACATATCTAATTTTGAAAAAGGAGAGGGTGTCAATCATTTTGGAACTGTGCACAGTGCCTCAGGTCCAAGATCTTCGCCAATTTGTAGGACTGATATAGGTCACAGTAGATTCGGAAACGAAGCAAAGCAACCCACACACTCCAGAATGCCTAATTCAGCTACTACACCGTCCCCAATTAAGTTCCAGACAGCGGGTGGAAGATCCATATCTGTCTCAAGTGATGCACTTCAACATGCAAGGAGTCTTCTTGGTGATCCAGAGTTGGGAACTTTATTGGACACGGGGAATGCAGATGATTTGGAACTTCCATTTTCAAAAAATAAAGGATTGGATAATTCTTCATCAAATAAGGAAAATGATCCTCGGAGTTGTTTATCCCATCAGGAAATGGCAAAGAGCAAACTCATGTCTAAGAGCTTCATATCTCCAATGCGATCATCTTCCAAAAGAATGCACTCATCAGGAAACTCACAGATTATAAATTCGGGAATTAACTTGATTAGACAATTTGATGAAGTTAGCCAGGATGATGTTTGCAGGTTGAGCAGAAACCTCACGTGTCAACAGGAGCGCTCAAGCAATGGACTATGTGTACCCAACACAATGGTAGATAACTCTTTGGCAAATGGTATTGATTTAAGGAAAAATCTTGTTGGAAGATCGCCAAGCCGGCAATTGGTTGACATATCAAATACCATTGGCACAGCTGCTGCAAATAATAGGCAGGCAACTAATGAAAAGAGGAGAATCATAAGAACTTCTGTATCTCCGTTCAAGAAGCCCCGAAGTTCCAAATTCTATACCCCTGTGAAAAGCAATTTCTCTTTTGTTCCTAGTGGTAAAGTTTTTTTAATGCATTTAGACAAAATCTCATTCCTGTTAATGATCAACATTTATCCTCCTCATTTAACTTACGTGTTACCATTACTCCACCAGGTTCGTCTAATTTTTCCCCAGAACATTGTTGTTCTAAAGGAAGGGTTTCCACTAGATATCCTTTCCCAGGAACAAGAATCTACGTCAAGGAATATTTTGGAGTGCCTCCGTTAGACCACAATAAGGTAAGAGATTAATGACTGTTTACTGTCTCCAAGAGATTATCTGAATGCTCTCTGCGCTGAAGCTATGTTATGTATCCAAATGAGTATAGTTGGCACATTCCTCAGACCAGTACAGGTGGATAAGATCAGGTAATGCCGAAAGTTACACCTTCCCTGACGATTCTGGTGTAAGATACATAGGAGCAGAAGATTTCTTCCACATGCTGATTCGTTCTGGAGCTTCTGAGCAATATGCTTCCAAGGAGTAAATAGTTCTTCAATCCTTCTTTTTCTTTTTTTTTTTTCCCGCAACCTTCCATTTTTTCTGATTTATACTATGTCACTTGGATTGCAGATTCTATGTTTAAAAATGCAATATTTGGTTAACGTATGACTTATGCTTTCATTTGAATGAGAATTTGAATTCACTGCTGTTTTCGATGCATAACTGTATTATTGACTAGGATTAGGGACTGATTGGATTTCATGGCCCCTTTTATGTGTTAACCTTGCATATCGTTGAGACCTTGTTCTGATTCATCGGAAGTATGCTGAACTATGTAATATTATTTTTAACCTCTCATTTAGTATGCTAAACTGTGCATCTCTAGGTGGGTAAAAAATCACTACAGGTGGATCATTTGGAAACTAGCATGCTATGAGAGATGCTATCCAACTAAAGCAGCTGGAAAAATTCTGTCAGTTTCCAATGTGCTCGAGGAATTGAAGTATAGGTATATAAGTAGTAGAATAATTATATGTTTACTGTTGGGGTTACGAGACATCCATGAAAATAAATTGGATGTGCTTGTGTAGGTATGAAAGAGAAGTGAATCATGGGCACCGTTCTGCAATTAAAAGAATACTTGAAGGCGATGCTTCCCCTAATTCAATGATGGTTCTATGTATATCAGCAATTTGTTTAAATTATGAACATAAGCTTGAGGTTAGCTCTTTTGCACAAGGTGATGCTGAAAATCATACTGCTGCTGCTGCAAAAGTCGAACTAACTGATGGCTGGTAAGAAAATGCTTACGTACAAGACAAGATGTTCATGTTACACTATCTTTGGTATGTAAGGAGATTTTGTCTCACAGGTATTCAATTGATGCTCTTTTGGATGTATTGCTGTTAAAGCAGCTTGCTTCAGGGAAGTTGTTCGTTGGACAGAAACTTCGGGTAATATGTTAATCCGTATTTCTGATATGCATTCTTTGATTGGGTTTTTCAGTTACATGCCCCTTTCTTACAATATAATTTCTCTACTTTAGATTTGGGGAGCAGGATTAAGTGGCTGGATTGCGCCTGTTTCACCACTTGAGGTTCTCACTCACTCTAGAATGTTTAGTGAAGGCAAAATTAAAAATTTACTTCCTGTTAGTCCTGAGATTTCTCAGGTTTTTGCTGCCACATAGGTGCCAAGAACAGTTAATTTAATGCTGCACATAAATGGAACGTATAGAGCTCATTGGGCTGATAGACTTGGATTCTGTAAGTTTCAGTTTAGTTTGATATCTGTAATCCTACATGAGTTCTGTGTATTTGCAATTTGATCTTCTTGCTTTCTTACTCTTGGTACTTAAACCCATTCTGACAGGTAAGGGTGTTGGTGTTCCTTTAGCATTTAAATGCATCAAAAGCAATGGGGGTCCTGTCCCGCTGACTTTGGTTGGAATAACACGCATATACCCTCTTCTGTACAAGGAAAGGTAACTTGAAAAGTGATGCCGTCCAATGCTTTTGTTTAAAATACATCTTTAAAATTTTCTTTGTGATGAAAATTATACTATTCCATCCTTCTAGGTTAAGTGATGGAAGATCAATTGTGAGATCAGAGAGGTTAGAAACTAAAGTTGTGCAATCATACAACGAGAGGTGACTCTTCTGCCTTAGGAACCTAACTTAAAGTTGCTCAACTCTAGAGATCTTCATATTTCCTGTTTTCTTTAGTGATTCATAATTTGATCTAAATATTGTCTATTTTGGTGCATATTTTCTTCCTTTTTGGGCTCTTCAGTATTTCCTTGGACTCTCTATTTCCTTTCCTCTTCAAATGCTGATTTGTTCTATCATTTTGTATCTTCAAGCCGTGTATTTTATTTTATTTTATTTTTTGCTTGGTACAGACGCTCTGTTATTATAGAGAGCATTGTTTCTGACTTCCAGAGGGGGACGAAATATTCACATATCTATAATGATAGTGATAGTGAAGACGGGGCAAAAATTTGGAAGATACTGGAGAAAGCTTCTCAGCCCGAAGTTTTATTGGCAGAGATGAGTCCTGATCAAATAAGTTCCTTTGCAAAATATCAAGCAAACATGGAGGTGTGTTTACACACTTTACCTAATTGAAAAGTTTTTATGAAGAAAGAGAGTATTAACTGTGGCAGGTCTGACCTTAGGCAATCAGGCAGTCAGACATGGAGAAGTCAATTGAGAAAGCGTTGGAAAATGCTGGCCTTGGTAAGAGAGAAGTCATCCCATTTATGAGGCTGAGGGTTGTCGGTCTAACTAGTAAAACGTATCAAGGAAAGGACAGTCCTAAAGAAGGGTTAACAACAATCTGGAACCCAACGGAAAAACAGGTGAGCTAAGTTTGTCTTTTTTCTATGTCTACTCTGTTAATCCTTCTCTCCTTTGTAAGCCCTACACTTCATCTAGTTGTGAACAATATGAATTACCTTTTGTGTATTCTAAATTATTCTTACTAATGTGTCAGCAAAGTGAGCTGATTGAGGGGAAAGCATACAATGTTTCAGGGCTTATGCCAGTCAGTGCAGATCCTGATACTATTTATCTGCAAGCAAGAGCCACCTCCTGGAAACCTCTCTCTCTGCAAGCAGTAGAACATTTCACGTAAGTATTCACTTTCCATTTATGTTACCGATGGAAAAATTCTATTCAAATCATAATTTCCCTCCACAGGCCATTCTTTACTCCTTGCAAATCAGTGCCATTGTCAAATTTTGGAGCAGTTCCTCTTTCCAGGTGAATCTTGGAACCTTAGAATTTGTACTGACGCTTCTGATTGTCTGTTTAACAAAAAAGTGTACATACTTATAGTTTTCTTATTATTTGAATTTGTAGAGAATTTGATATTGCTGCATTTGTCGTCTATGTTGGGGAGGTTTACAAAGATGCTCATCAAAAGAAACAGTGGGTGTTTGTGACAGATAGCTCCATTACTGAGTTACAGTCAAAAGAATTTTCTGATTGTTTGCTTGCCATCTGCTTCTGTTCACCATGCATGGATGATGAATCCTTTGTACCATTTAACTTTAACCTCGAAGGATCAACAGTAAGTACATTAATAAGTTTTTGATGTCAATAAAAAAATGACACCTTTTTAAAAAAATAATAATAATTAGGAAGATAATGAGGTAAATCCTGTCATGTGAGGGAACTGTCCTAAAATTTTTTGATCTTGAATTTGGTTCAATTTGGAAACAAAAGCAAGTTTTTTGATGAAAACAGAGGCCGATGATTAAAAACAAAAGGACCAATATTGCAGACAATACACAAATACTATGATAATATTTTCCCCGTTTGTTCCATCTTACACACCCTATTTTCTGCTAAAACTGGTAAGTAAACCAGTATCTCACTCTTGTTGAGTCTTTTCATTGAAACAACCTATGTTTCTTTGCAGGTGGGCTTCCGTAATCTCATAAAGAGAGCAAAAGACCAAGTGAATCGTCTCTGGGTAGCTGAAGCTTCTGAAAACTCGACTTATTTCTTGAGTTTTGACACTCCACATTCCTCTCATTTAAAAAATGCGGCTGTCTCTGCTCAAAGATGGGGAACATTCTCTCACTTGGTCTGAATTTAAAACTTCAAAAATAGCTAAGATCTTTACCACGCGTTGTACGCTCTAATCATCTCTTCTGGGGTCCTTTTGGCAGATCGTGGATAAGCTTAAGGAGAAGATATTATTTATCATTGGTGATGGTAAAGCCTAATGGAGAAAATAACCAAATCCAACTGACCTTGGTAAGTTTCCATTCCATATACTTACTAGTGTTTTGTTTCATAGATTTGAATTACTATTCAAACCTTTTAGTTATAGTGTTTTCTTTCACAAAATTTAAATTTATGTTCAAACTTTTCTGGTCAAACCTGTGAGCCAAACGGGCCATTAATAAGTTATCAATTCGATGACATTGGTTCTGTAGTTTTTGTTAGAGTTAATATTTTCCATATCCACCCTCACATTCTTCTCTTTTGTTTGTTTGCTTCCTCTGGTGGTTTTGAATCTTTTGACATAGAAAATTTAAATAAATGAATTTTAGAAATCTATGCCCTCTTCCGCATATTATCACTTGATTGATTTTGCAGCTTCTTTCAACTATAATTTAACTATTTACTTCTGTTCAATTGTACATTAAATGAAGATCATTCTAGTGCAATTGGTCTTTGATGATAGTATAAGATACACACCCAGAAAGAAAAATGTTGAATTTTATGTGAATTTGGATCAAAAGGTAAATGAATGGTTCAAATCATTAACTTTTCCAACTTCTGATATAGACTTTTCTTGACCTAGATACCGACTTTGCTTACAATGACTGAATGGGATCTCGTGCTAATCAACGGGCATAACGAGTTTATCATCTAGGATGCTTAAAAGAGGTTCCTTCACAGAATGAAACTGGTTACTCCATCAAAGCAACCTCTTGTTTCCTCAATGCTTTAATCATGTCATCTTTTCATGCCACAGGTTTGTTCCCCAGCATTGAACGAAACACTGCTTTGAGTGCATTGCTGGAAGAGGGCTATAAAGCACCAATGCTAAAGCCTCATCCATAGTTTATCGCTTCAATGACATTGAAAATTGCTTTTCAGACAATTCTGTTCTTTTGTCCTCTCCTTTTGTGAAGGGCTGAAGGGGAGTGAAAGAGCTGGGAGGCTGGAAGTTGGGCTAAAATCATCAGTTTGCTTAGTAGCCGGTTTTCTGCAATAGGGGACGTTGAAAAAGATCTTTGCAAACAGAACAAAACTAACAATTACTGGCCAATGTCCATATTGCTCGATATGTCAATACGTTATGTAAGATTTAATGGTAAAAGTGCATTTTTGGGGACCATGTCGTAAGGATTTTAATACGCCTTACGACTACTATCTAACAGTCAGTAATGTATTTCGCTGTTGCATTATGCCAGACCCAGGTACATAATTTCGTTTTTATCACATACAGGATTAAAGAATGCTAAATAATAAAGTTCCAATTGTTATAGTCAAGCCTTTAAAATTTCAATTATTTCGGAAATCATACCGAAAAGGATAGTAGACGATGGATTGGCATATGAAATGTGCATCTTGAAGCCTAAATCGACCTTAGTTATAGAGAATGTCCCACATCACTACATAACATGGGTATTCAATTGTTTATAGGGAGAAAGAGAAATAGGCTAAGACTTGAGATGAATTAAAATTAATAGGTCAATAGTTTACATAAGTTAATAAATAGGTCAAATTACTGTTTTTATCCATAACTTGTTTGGTTATGAACCATAACTTGACAAGTTATTATTCATAATTCACGGTTTTTGTCCATAACTTGTCTGGCTATGAATCATAACTTAACAAGTTTGTTCATAACTTATCTGGTTATGAACTATAACTTGATAAATTATGGCCTATTAATTTTTATAACTAAAAATTGGCCTATATACTTTCTTCAACTTTTCATATTAGCATATTTTTTATTATTTTGTTGTTTATATCCTGGTGTGGCTATCTTCTGGCCTGCCAGTTCTGAGCCGAGAGTTAGGCCATGCAACTTAGGCGAAGGCCTGGGTTTCGTGACTACTAGAGTGGAAGGCACCGCGTGAGACTGGTTTCACATAGCAGCGAAAACCTCTCGCTCTTGGCAGAGCTCCTAAAGGATCACAGGCTGGTGCTACTGGGATCCATCATGGCCCAACGAGCTGTCCGTAATTGAACCACCACTTTTTGGGCCATTTAGGGAAATGGCATATTCAGAAAAGTAAAAAAAAAAAATTAATAATAATAAAAAAAATGGAGAATTTACTACTCTAGATTTTAACCTTTTATTTTTAATAAATACATTTTTATTAGTGTAATTATTTGACTAAAAAAATGTTATGAATTAAGAGTAAATAGTAAAAATTATAACTCATATTTTCAAGACATATTTGTCAAGATTACCCAAAAAATTAATAGCATAAGGTTTTGGGCGTTGTTAATTTCACAACTCAAGTTACAACTCAAGTTTTATTGCTAGTGTTTTCTCTTATAAAAATTCAAATTTAACTTTTTTATTACAGTTTTTTTCTCACACAACTCAAGTTAAGAACTTTGAATTGTGAAACAAACATACCCTTAAAAATATTAGAGCATTTCCAATGCAATAGTATAATTGATGTGTCAATTGTAAATTTAGCATTTGAATGTAAAAAACATTCTCCAATGCAATATTAACATAAGAAAAATTTAGCATTTAATTGCTATCGGTTGAAATGTTTACTTTTTCATGTAATCATCGTAAATTTTACTTTTTTTAATTATTTTAAACATAAAATTTTATTTTTACAACTTTTAAGCATAATAATTACAGAAAAAAGTAGATTTAATATTTCAAATAACATTATGTATTGGAGTAAAAATGAAAATAATATATCATATAACACTTTTTGATGGTAAACATACAATTGGCATTAGTATTTGTATTAGAGATGGTCTTAGTAAATAACATTATTTTGTCCTACATGGCCCAACGAGCTGTCCTTAATTGAACCACCACTTTTTAGGCCATTTAGGGAAATGGCATATTGAGAAAAGTAAAAAAAAAAAAAAAATGGAGAATTTACCTTTACGATTATATGAGTCTAGATTTTTACCTCTTACTCTTGATAAATACCTTTTTGTTAGTGTAATTATTTGACTAAAAAAGGTTATGAATCAAGAATAAAGAGTAAAAATTACGACTCATGTATTTTCAATGCATATTTGTCAAGATGACCCAAAAAATTAATAGCATAAAGTTTTGGGCATTGTTAATTCCACAACTCAAGTTACAATTCAAGTTTTATTGCTAGTGTTTTCTCTTATAAAAATTCAAATTCAACTTTTTTATTACAATTTTTTTCTCACACACAACTCAAGTTAAGAACTTTGAATTGTGAAACAAACATACCCTTAAAAATATTAGAGCATTTTCAATACAATGATATAATTGATGTGTCAATTGTAAATTTAGCATTTGAGTGTAAAAACCACTCTCCAATGCAATATTATTTGTTGAACAACATAAGAAAAATTTAGTATTTGATTGCTATCGGTTGAAATGTTTACTTTTTCATGTAATCAATGCAACTTTTACTTTTTTTAATTATTTTAAACATAAAATTTTATTTTTACAACTTTTAAAGCTTAATAATTACAGAAAAAAGTAGATTTAAGATTTTAAATAGCATTACGCATTGGAGCAAAAATGAAAATAATATATCATATCATACTTTTTGATGGTAAACATACAATTGGCATTAGCATTTGTATTGGAGATGGTCTTAGTAAATAACATAATTCTGTCCAACATAGCCCAACGAGCTGTCCTTAATTGAGCCACCACTTTTTAGGCCATTTAGGGAAATGGCATATTGAGAAAAGTAAAAAAAAAAAAAAAAAAAGAAAAAAATGGAGAATTTACATTTATGAGTACGTGAGTCTAGATTTTTACCTCCTACTCTTGATAAATACCTTTTGTTAGTGTAATTATTTGACTAAAAATGGTTATGAATCAAGAGTACAGAATAAAAATCACGACTCATGTATTTTCAAGGCATATTTGTCAAGATTACCCAAAAAATTAATAGCATAAAGTTTTGGGCATTGTTAATTTCACAACTCAAGTTACTCAAATTTTATTGCTATAGTGTTTTCTTTTATAAAAATTTAAATTCACATTTTTTATTACAATTTTTTTCTCACACACACAACTCAAGTTAAGAACTTTGAATTGTGAAACAAACATACCCTTAAAAAGATTAGAACATTTCCAATGCAATGGTATAATTGATGTATCAATTAAAAATTTAACATTTAAGTGTAAAAAACACTCTCCAATGCAATATTATTTGTTGAACAACATAAGGAAAATTTAGCATTTGATTGCTATCGGTTGAAATGTTTACTTTTTCACGTAATTATTGCAAATTTTTTTAATTATTTTACTTTTACAACTTTTAAAGCTTAATAATTACAAAAAAAAAAAAGTAGATTTAACATTTCAAATAGCATTATGCATTAGAGCAAAAATGAAAATAATATATCATATCACACTTTTTGATGGTAAACATACAATTAGCATTAGCATTTATATTAGAGATGGTCTTAGTAAATAAAAAGATTAGTAAATAACATAATTTTGGTAAATGCAATTTACGGCATTGTAAAAATATAAAAAATGTCCTCACTTATTAAAAACCTGTTATAAAATAAATGTAAACACCAAAATATTGCAGGAAACTAAAAAGAATAACAAAAACAATATAAGAGAATATGAGAGTCAAGACAACTTTCTAATCTTTCATTTATTTGTGAGGAGTGATCCAAACATGCTCATACCATCTCTATTTATAGGCTAAGAGCCATAAGTAGAGGTAATTACGGCAAAAGAAATGAGTTCCATATACATTAAGATAGGTATTATAGAGAGATAATACACAACATTAAGGAAGGAATTAGGAAGGAGATAATGTGATCTAAATGAGAGGTTATGGAATATGAAGTGGTTGCATCCACACTAATTGTTCCACAACACTCCCCCTTGGATGTCCACCTACCAAAAAATATGCCTGTTAAAAACCTTACTAAAAAAAAACCCTTTTGGAAAAAAAAAATCTTAGTGAAGGGAAAAATAATGCATTATTCTTGTAGGATTTGCGTTTGAAACTGCCTTATTAAAAACCTTGCTAGGAAAATCCAATGGGACAAAACCTATGCCAAGGAAAAAAAAGTACAATATGCAGTAGCCTCCTCTTCATGTCAACATGTCTTCTTCAACAACAATAAAGATCTTTGAGTCGACACGTATTTCTCAAATGTAGCTGTAAAGAGTGCCTCTATTAATAAATCTTCCATGTTGTCACTAGAACAAATTTGATGGACATCTAGTTCTCTTGTCTTCTGGACTTTATGCGCGAAAATGAACTTTGATAAAATGTGCTTGATTATGTCTATTTAACTCAAGTTATACGATTGAAAAAACAACATCGAGTGCGCAACGGAATTTTAAAATTTTTAATCAATGCCAAAACCAATCAAGAACATGTTCATGATGCTATATAACATAAATACTAAAGATCTAAATTATACCTTTAGAGATTATGGACAATATGTTTGACAAATCAAAGCGTTCCAAATAGCAACCGGAAGAGCCTCAACCAACTAGTCTTCTTTGCTATTCTCGTTTTCACAATCAGAGTGTGAGTGAGCACACGTCGTTCAATCTCCCTTGGTATTCTTGAACTCCTTCCAACCACAAGAGAGTCAAAGGAAAAATCATTCTTGAGATTTAAACAATTTTTTTCTCTCAGAAACCCTTACCAATAACCCCCAAAAAGTCTCTCAGGTGATCGAATGATTAATGAGACTTAGCGGGCTATTTATAGAGTTTAGGAAGTTATATTCCCTCAATACTTAGGTTTTCCAAAGTCAATTTCACGTCAAAAATTGCACAAAGTCAGTTTTTGACATAACAGTTATGACCGGTCGACCGGTCCAGTAGTTATAAAAACCACCGGTCGATTGGTCCCTATACAGAACAACTCAAAAAGTTACGTACCAGTCAACCGCCTCCGTTAACCGGTCGACCGGTTCCTGTTCCGAGAAACTTCTTTCTCAAGCTATTTAATATGAAAAACTTACATAGAGCCTCAGTTTCAATTCAAGTAACCCAACATAGAAGTTATCTGATCAAAACAGTCATATATTAGCCTTTTCATATTAAATAAGACTCAAAACAATAATTCAATAAATTTATTTAGAATTAATTTACAATTAATTCACCTAATAAATAACTCATGAATTAATCACCGAACTCATATTGACTTTGACTTTAATCCTTTAACAGAAATAATATAAGTTACCAATAATATTAATACCAGTACAAAAGTAAACCTTTCATATCACTTTTGAAGATGTCAATTCAATCACAATATTTTTCTAAAAAAAAATAAATCAATAAAATCAATTATAATGTTACTAGTGATACTCACGTGAATTTACTATCATGGCGTTTAACATTAATCGTATAATAATATTAAGGGACTTATTCTTGCATGACCTCTCTATTAATATGATCAATTTTTTTTTTACTTTTATATATGATTAAAATCATATCAAATAAAAATGTATGAAAAACAAATAACTTTTAATATAGATCTAACAGTTGAGAGTAAAAAATTACCGATAATTCAATTTTTTTGCTCCTAAAAATCCCCTAATAATAATTGGTAATTGGTAATTGATAATGACATGATTATGCAAATAATTGCACAGGATTGAATATTAGGCTAATGAGGAAAAGGGCGTTGGTATTCTAATCTGTGTTGTTATTATTAGGAAAAGAGTTGAAGACCAAAAATAATAAAGGACCACTTTGTCTGATTTTGTTGAACAAATTCTCACAGAAGTCAAAAAAGACAAAGTAACTACCTTCCCTTAAATAGCCAATTCTAGTTACAACACATGATAAGTTGCATATCAGATCAGTACATATATTTTCAAAGAATGAAAACATTTAAACAATACCCTTAAGAGTTGGGAATTTTACTATGCCGGTACAAAAGTACATCCTTTTTCCCATTGCAATGGGAAAGCTCAAAGCAGAAACGAAAATCCTTTCAAACAATGTTCATATTTGTTTTTACAAGAAATGGAAGAACAACTCGTTCCATACGTCAGGTACACCAGGCAAGCACCAATGTATGCAATCAGAGTAACTTGGAGGGTTAGACAACTGCTCCGGCTTCAGAGGCTCCCAGAACTTGCGGTAGATTGACGGGTGACCGTCTTTTCGATACTCTGAGAGCTGAGTAATGTTGATCACTGAAATCTTGGAACCCAACTTGTGAAGGACATTCTCCACCATGCGCATGGTAGGCAGGTCAGAACCACTTCCCCAGTAACCCTCTGAATCTATAGGAGTTTTCTCACTATAGCAATTACCTTCACTTCCTGGTTTCCATTCTCGACTCCTGAGATAGTGGCAAATACTTATTGGTTTTAGGTTCTAATTGGGCTATGGAAAACAACAACGAGATAATGCAAATGACAAAACCGGAGGCTGCTTTCTAAAATTTAAAGGGTTTAGATGGTGGTAATGAGCTGCTACATAATTTTGTCCACATTGCTAACAATGGAAACGCTCTTTATATTATACTTTGGTAGATTGCATTAGTAAAAAATCAAGGCCCTTTTTGTTTCGCTAGTTTGAGTTGAGAACTTAAGTAAAAAAGTAGATTTATTTGAGAGAAAACACTGTAACAAAAAAAAGTTGCATTTGAATTTTTGAGAGAAAATACTGCAGCAAAAACTTGAGTTGTGATTTGAACTAGCGAAACGAATGGGCCCAAATTTACCGGGAAAATAGGCATCACGGTGAAGTTTTAAAGAAAACTCATTGGATGGACGACGACCACCAATCATTTTGTGCAGCTTCTGATTGCAGTGACAATAAAAATCCATCCCTTCTTAACATCTATTGGCCGAATAATGACAAACCAAAATCTAGCTTTAACATGCAATTAAGCACACTATTCTAGAACAACTAAAGGGTAAACTTCAAGGTCAAGCACTACTCTCTGCTAATCAAGACCACTCATCAGCCACAAAGAAATAACCCTAAACTTGACATAAAACATTTAGGAAAAATGTATTGATCGCTTCATTAAGTGCAAATTTATTGATATAGTGTTCAATAGCATTGCAGATTTTCATTAGGCTTAAAGGGATGTTGGTGGAGAGAGTTTGGGCACGTACCAAAGGTGTGTAGGAGACATTGTCACGAAAAATACCCGCTTCCTAAGAGGATCCACTTTAGATGCTACCCAATCAGCCCAAGCTCCCATGGCCAATTCCATGGCTCCAAGACCATCTAACTCTTCGCAAATACCACTTTCTTCAGCACTCCATCTGCATTAGGGGAAGACCTGATTCAGATGCTCGTGCATGAAGTTCTAAAAGAAAATTTTTTCTAAACTGAAACCTATCTTGTTGTTGTTAGCATACGTACAACAGCTTAACTGGACCCTGTCTCCACCACAGATATGTGTTGAAAATTAATATATCAGCATGCTCCCATTGTGAGGAATGCTTGAGAACTGAATCAGGACGAATTATTCGGTCATCCAATCTATGATTCACAGGGTCATCGGAATTTGATTCTACAAGAAGTGGGGCCCATAGAAATTCAATAGTCGCATTATATTCCTGCAAATTGACAAATGAACAAATGAAGAACAAGGATATGAAACATTAACAACAGATATTCATCTATTCATGTCCTATGCTTGCTTACAACAAGAGGAAATGCAATGCCACCAACATATTTATGTTGTTTCATAGATTCAAGATCCATATCATATCATGATTAACTTCTCGAGAATACTGTAGGAACAGCATTATTTTCCCCTGGTTTTATGAGAACCATTTTATGTAGCGTATGGAGCAAAGGCTTGGTCTAGTTGACTTATCATACAACATCTTAGAGAAGTAGTTTAAGCACCTCTGCCCTGAAAATGGTAAGAGGGGCATTTGGCGACATGGATTTTTTATCTGCGGGGATCACCAACTGTAGCAAACACACCATTGATATCCACTGCCCTCTGTTCAACGAATCCCCCACAAACATTAGCCTTTTTCCTCTCAACTTCTCCCACATTTCAGTCGCATTCCACCTAAAAGGAAAAGGAACAACCATCAATAAATGTAAAATCAAATTAAAAAATATATATATACTGTCACATGCGTAACATAACATACTTGATTGTAGGGAATATACGTTTTGACAACATCCTAATTATATGCCTAACAATACTTTCACTTCGTTTCAATTGTCTGTCCTTTGGTGTAAAGAACTCGAAATGTCCCAACTCTACTAGTTGTAGAAAGAAGCTAACTAACTTCGAAATAGGAAATGGAGGTTCCAGTTCATATATAACAAAAAAAAAAAAAAAAAAAAGGTCATAAGCAACTTCAGTTACAAGAAACCACTAACAAAACCAACCAGACAAACAAACTAATAAAAAACTCAACAGTTGTCACATAAGTTATGTACCATTCTTTCATAGGGGATGCTTATTCTTGTCCTCATAAGTAAACTCAACAAGACTCCAATTACACAAGTTCAATTAAACAGCCTCATTTTATTCCAACTCTAATGGGAAAATTAATTTGTATTTTTATTTTTTCAAATTTTAACAGTAAAGTATGAATTGGGGACTCACTCCAGTTCCATGCAACCAAAACACAGCCATCAACTATCAAGCAAGTACATTTCCAAGAATTTGCAAAAGAACAGGACCAAACTGAAAGTAAACTCTACCTTCATCATATAAATTAAATGCCATTCTTGACTATAAAGGAAAAAAAAAATGCTTGTTCTTGTTCCCACAAGTAAAATCCAAAAATATACCAAATCAGGCGAAACCAAATACTTTCATTGATCTCCAAAAGACTAAAACAAATGCAACCATCAAAACAAGCAAGTACATTCTCAAGAATTTGCTAAAAAAACACCAATCACTGACCTCTTCAAATTACAACCATGGGGTTGCCACCTCCAGTACTGGTAGCCCAAATCATCCCTCCCATGCCTGTGACACGCCAACTGGTCCGACATGTACGGACACCCGGACTCATTGTACAGCGGGTACGATGTGTTGTCGAACACCCACTTCCCAGAGAACACATCACACTTCTCCTCCGTACTCTTTCTCCGGCGCCGTTGACCGGACACAGCGGTCAACTCGATTTTCCGGCGACTGTTCTCTCTAGTGGAATTGCATTTAGTGAACCTATCGATAACCTCTACAAAAAAACCCCGAAAAAAGGAAAAAAAAAAAAACACCCTCATTTGAGCTCATCACGTAAAGAATCAAACGAAAGCCAGAAATCCGACGGAAGATTCAAGAAGAAGAAGAAGAAGAAGACCTAGGGGTCGACCGGGAAGTCTGAGGAGATTGGGCTTGACGAAGGTGAAGTAATTTTGCTGGTGGGGACGAACATGGTGACCTTCTTGTTGGTGTTGTTGTTGTTGTTGTTGATCATCTTGTTGGATTTGAAGAATGCTGCGTTCGTTGTGGAGGATCGACAAGATGATGAAGATGAGGAAGATCAATGCGAGTAGAGGGAACTGGGTTTTCTTCTTGTTCCACCTTTGCATAGTGGAAACTGGAGAATAGCACAATAGAAATTTCTGAGAGTCTTTTCAGAGAGAAATTGCTTCGGCTAAAAATTCATTTCATTGAAAAAGAATCAGAATGCACCCTTTTAAGAGGATTTTATGTGTGTTAATAATGGCGTCAATGTTTGGGGTAAATTGGTAATTTAGTATTTCTTTTCGGTTTCATGGAAACAAAAGTTATTCTGGTACTTTGTATTTCAATATTTCTCTGTTTCTCATAATTATTACAAACACATATTGTGTTTTTTTTTATAATATTAAAATGAAACCTCACTTAAAAAAAAAAAAAAAAACATTTTGATATCGTAGAGTTGAATTTTTAACATTGTTCCTTTTTTTCCCTCATGATTTAGAACCAGTTGAATAAAATTGGAAAAAAAAAAGGTTCATGTTCCAAACCAAAATGAAATGGGAAAAAAAAGGTTCATGTTAGTATTATTTTTTTTATAGACATGATGACCATATTTTAACATTATAAAACTACAGGTTGTTCGTGATAATTATAATATCTAATCTAAAACATACATTAAAGAGTAAAGAGATTATTTTTTGGCCATGTGTCAATCTCTCTTTTATTCCTTTACGTTTTATCTTTTACATTCTTTTCTTCTTTTTTTGTTTTTTGTTTTTTTCTTTTCTTTCGCTTAAAACTCCTATACACTTTGTTCTTAATTTTTCCTCCTTTTCTTTTTAAAAAATTTTCTTCTTTTCTTTTGCCTTATTATCTTTTTTTTTTAAATTTTTCCCTTATATACTTTAACCTTTTTTTTTTACATTTTTAATTGATATACTTTCTTTCATATTAAAAAAATTCTTTTCAAATATTTTCTTACTTAATTTTTTTTTTCAAAATTCTTATATAACTTTAATTCTTTTAGATGTGATTTTTTAAAATATTTATTTTTCTTCTTGTTTTAATTAGAAGACTTAGTTTATGCACGTGTCTCAACTAGTATCTATAGAGATATCGAAACTAGTTTTTTTTTTTCATATTAGATAAGTAATTAATCGAAACTAGTTTTTTTTTTTTTTTTTTTTTTTTTTTTTTTTTTTTTTTTAAAAAAAATTTTTTTTTTTTTTTTTTTTTTTTTTTTTTTTTTTCATGTTAGATAAGTAATTTAGTATGATTGACGAGCTATTAATGCCGTATCCAATGGTTGTTGCATTGTTAGCTGGTTACCTCACACTCATAATTTTATTGCTAAGTGTATTTTGTCCTATTGTTATGGGATGAGGTTTGAAATTAATGCCCACTCGGGTCACTCCATTACTAATTCGAATGTCCTTCATATTAACCCTAAACTAGTATAGTAGTAAATGAACTATAAGTTAGTAGAAGATAATGGCTTAGTTTGGTATTGCTTTTTCTTCTTAAAATCAGTTTCTACTTGCAGCAGAAGCTGATTTTAGTATTTGGTAAATCTCCTTCAAAGTGCCTTTTGAAGAATTTTTTAAGAATCTACAACCAAAATCAGAAGCAGTCGAAAGACAACTTAGCTTTTAGATTGTGCGGGAATCAACATAGTATAATTAATGACACTTTTATAATACCCGTAATACCCATAATGAAATTTAAAATTTACAATATTCTCAATCTAAAATTCAGACTCGTAATATAATATAATATAATATTATCAAAGTACTTATTTATTTATTGAGAAAACAGTAGATTGACTTTAATTAGATAAATAAAGCATCAGCTTTTACAAAGTCCTGATACATAGAGGGATAACATCAATCCAAACAAACGAAACCGAACGTAAAAAAAAGCAAGATTAACCAAATAGTGGGCTACTCGATTCCCGCTTCGGGGAATGTAGCAAACACTGCCACTATAATGAGTTACAAAATTTGCAACATCCAAAATGATATTGGCTTAGTTTTGTATTATTTTTCGTTTCCAAAATTGACTTCTACTTGTGGCAAAAGTTAATTTTAATATTTGATAAATCTTTTTAAAAGTATTTTTTAAAGAATTTTTGAAAAATTTACAGTCAAAATCATATGCAGCCTAAAGACAACTTTAACTTTTAGATTGTGTAGAAATCAACATAATACAATTAATAAAACTTTCATAATACTTCTAATGAAATTTGAAATTTACAATCTTCCCAATCTATAATATAATATAATATACTATAATCGTAATTTTCAATTATTTCAGTTATTATTTTAATAATATTATTATATTATATATCATAATTATATAATATATTATATAATAATAGTTTTTTATTATATTAAATATAATAATAAATGTATATTATATTGTAATTATGTATATTATATTATAGTATAATATAATATAGTCGTAATTTTTAATTATCCACAGCAATTTAATTTCATAATTTACTAAACACTATTATACTGATTTTAGAACAAGCACAGCTATTATAATTATAATTTACCAAACACTCAACTGCTTTTTGTAATAGCTACTTCTTCCTTCAGCACAGCAAAAGGTAATTTTTTCAAAATGTACAACACTACTAAACTAAGCCAATGTCATATAAAGTTAAAAGGAAGCCAGAAGCCTCATAAATGTTTAATAATTCTTTATGATAATAAACTGAATTATTTGGGAGTCGGAGATTCTTGGGCTGCGTCCTATATTCAATGTAAGCACGGTTATTAGGGAGAAAGCCATTTTTTAAACCCGTGTTTATTTCCAAAACATAAAAAAGTGATTTGAACGAGCCCAGTAAAATTCATGTTTGGTGTAAATAAAAAAGATTTAAGATTTAAATCATGATATGATATTTTAACCTTTTTAAATCCTAAAAAATAAAATTATCTTCTTCTTAGTGTTAATTAGAGGTGTCAATTGGGCTGGGCCGTCCATGGACGGCCCGGCCCAACCCGCTACAGTAGTAAATTCGGCCCGGCCCGGCCTTGTACCGTTATGGGCCGGGCCGGCACAGCACGCCAGAAAAGCCTGGGTTAGGCCTCATGTTTGAGGCCCGCAGCCCAGGCACGGCCCATGCCCGCCAAGGCCCAGGCACACGAAGGGCCAGGCCCGCGACATGAAATTTTAATGAAGTTTGAGGCATTTTAGGGTTAATTGGCCGACCTATGCCGTCTGATTAACCAGTCATGTTCTTATAATTATTCATATTAATTCAATAAAATCACATATTTTTTGGGCATATGATATATTACTTCTTTTTTGTCATCAAATTTGAAATTAAAAAAAAATCCTAAAAATATTGCTAATCATAAGTGAAACTCATTAAGAAAATTAGGTTAAGATTGAGTTTAGACATAACAGAATCTTCTAGAAGCACTTAGGTTTTGTAATTTACTTATCCTAGAATACTGTACTCTTTTTTCCTTCGCTAAGGTTTTGTACCGATCTTCCCACGAGGTTTACGTGACAAGGTTTTTAACGAGTTGATCATTTATGTGTACTTATTTGTATTATCTCAATTCAATAAAATCATATCTTTTGGGGACATATGATATATTTTCTTTTTTTTAATTAAATATTGAAAAAAAAAATTAAAAGGGCTAGGGCCGGCCCGTGAAGGGCTTGGGCCCAGGCCCAGCCCTGGCCCTTATGGACTAGGGCCAAGGGTCAGTGCTGGGCCTGAGGGTTTCTCCTCAGGCCTGGCCCTGGCACGGCCTTGCACTGTGCAGGGCCGTGCCAGGCACGGCCCAGGCCCGCCATGGGCCTGGGGTTAGAAGGGTCGTGCCGGCCCGGCACGACCCTTTTGACATCTCTAGTTTTAATTGGTTTGAACCTCAAGGTCAAACTATACATGATTCAAACTCAAAGATTCAATTTCAAACTCCACAGTTCAAAATCTACAAGAGTCAAACTATCTTGATTTAAACCCTTATACCAAACGGATCTTAAATAGTGCTCATGATTCAAAAATATTTTCAAATCTCAGTTTTTTCTCCTCTCGAAACTAAAGGATTATAGGAACAAAAAATGACGTACTCAGATAATTTTAGAAACACAATAAATCCCCCACTGACATCACAAAATCTATTAACTTGAACTCAAATGTTGCTAAAATGAACTAGCGCCCGCACTACTCATCAAATGAAAGGAGTGCTCCTAAGTTGAGTTCAAATTAGGCCGCTGACTTCAAAATCTTATCCAGCTAGACTCAAGCCAAGACTAGAATGAAGTTGTAGTTTAGAAATACCTTCTAAAACCATTTTTATAATAAGTGACTTTCTCTAATACGTTAATATACTAGTAAATTAAATTTTTATATATTAAATTTACATAAAATCACACGTAAAAATCACCCTTATAGTAAATGATTTTTAAACAAAATCCTACGTGACACGGCAAGGGAAGCGAAAAAGTAGCCTTCATCAGTGATGAGACAAATGTAGTAAGAAAAAGACTAAAGACCTTCATAACTAGTGTTTTCTCTTTTACCATTGTTTCCTTTTCTTGTGTCTCCCCTACACTTTTTGGTCTACGCAAAAAAGAGGAAACAATTGGTAACAACTTCATAGAGTACAAAGGGAAAAAATAAATAAAAAAAAATTATTGACTTTGACTGATTTTTGTTTTTTGTTTTTTTTTTTTGGGTCATTGATGAAAAATGTAGGCATAGAGAAGCTCATTCCACACATCAGGCACTCCAGGTAGGCACCAATGATGACAATCTGCATAGCTTTTAGGGTTTGATATTTTCTCCTCAGTTAGAGGTTCCCATTGCTTCCTATAAATAGAGGGATGAGCTTCTTTTCTGTACTCTGAGAGCTGAGTAATATTAAGCATTTGAACATTTACACCTCTTGTTTTCAGATCATCAAGCACATTCTCCACCACTCGCATCATTCTTGGATCCGACCCTTTTCCTCTATATCCCTCCTTGAAAATCTGCTCTGTTTCTCCATAGCAATTTTCACCCTTAATTCCACCCCATTCATCAGCCCTGCAAATGTAGTAGATGGATCGATACTGTAAGCTAGCTGTTTTTCTTATAAATAAACTTAACATGAGGCACAACCACATTCTCATTTCTCGTTTTTATGGTTAAAAACATATTGAGTAGGATGTAAAAACATATTTAGCTTCCTCACGCCCTTTTGCCTCCTATATTCGTCTATTTAATAAGATGGGGTTGAGATTGGAGAATTTTTCAAAGCCTTTTGTTTTCCCATAAGAGTTGAAAGAATTCTTTTCATATTATCAAAATTGAAAGCAAATTTAACTACTTAAAAAAACAGACCTAACATTAAAGGTTCGTTTAGTTCGCTGATTTGAGTTTTTAATTCGAATTGAAATGTGACTTTATGTGAGAGTTTTTTATTGTAATAAAAAATTTAAACGTGATTGTTTCTGAGAGCTATTTACTATAGTAAAACTTAAATTCTAAACTCGAATCGGTGAAATTAACGGGGTCTAAAACTTTTAAGAACATTATTCTATTTTTTTTTTGTTTATCTTCACATTAGACTTCAGTCTTCACACACATTATAATGTATCCATCCCACAGAGTTAATTTTAAAAATGATACTATCTCCACACCCAGAACATCCCATACTCTCTAAAATTGCCATTCCTTACAAATGGTGCTAAGAGCCACACACAGTGAGAAATAGTTAAAACTATGCATACTTTATAGTAAATGATGAATTTAGTGTTAATATTCATATAAATAGTGTAATTTGTGCATTCGACGTACATTAAAATAAAATAATGATGCTTTATGTACTTTTGATGCTATTTAATTAATATAGATTTCATTCCGAGATCAAGAACATCTCCAATTATTGTTTGTATGATTAAAAACCGTGTCAACTAGGTTAGCAGGAAAAAATAAGAAATAAAAAAATAAAGAAGTAACAACAAGGCTTAACTTGTCCACACGATCTCAGAGGAGGTACTTCACGTTTGCCGACAGAGGTAAAGCAATGTGGGACAGCAAGAATTCTTTCTATATAAACAGGCATACAGATACACAAACACTAATAAAAGAGACAAGATTATGCATGCCTTACAAAATAATATATGTTTCGGGGGAGGATTAGTGAATCCTAAATGTATGGTTGCTGTTGACGGTTGGTTTTCGTCAACAAGATCGTATCGGCTTACCCTGCGGTAGTTCGTTGGGTTACCAGTTTAAAACTCGTATTTTTAACTGAATATGCAAAGGGGTATATTGGTGTCCTATGAAGTAAATGTTATGATCCTCTAAACAATAACGACACAAAGATTTTATAGTGGTTTACCCTTATAAAACAAGAGCTACGTCCATTGGATTGTATATCTCTTGATTTGTTCTTTACAAGAATAACACAATACAAAAATAATCTCCCTTTCTCACTCAAGGGTCTTTCCCCTTTTATAGCCTGTACTACATGAGCTTTGCCCAACGGCAGGCGGTTTGGACCATTGGGCTTTTTCTTCTAGGGGGCTAATTCACTCGAGTGGCCTATTGCCTTATTTGCCTAGACCGTAGCCTGTCAGCACCTTTTGGACTGTTCACTCATCCAATTTGTCCCCCTATTACGGCTCTGTAGATCATTTGTAGCATTTATTGATCCGTTTGAAGCGGTTTAGGGGCTTGAATCATAGTCTGTGCAACTGACATTCTCCAAACCCAGACGCAACCTTGGGATATTCAGCTGATCTCCTCAGGGGTCTTCCTTGGGATGTGAATCCAGTTGCTCGCGTTCTGCCCTCTGCACCCATGCCAAAATCTGCTGAGGGTAGCCTCTCTCACGGCTGACTTTATCGCGTTATTTTGCACGAGCTGGTCTCGCAGGCCTCGACTGTGTATAGGGTCGACGGTCTCAGTCCCCTTATACATTTGGCTCTCATGCCATACGGGAGAGGCCAATGAGGCTCGGGCGTTGAGGGGTAACTGACGTAGTAGGCATGGGGCCACGTGTGGCCTAATCATTGTTCGACGTGTCGATGTGAATTTTCCCATACGAAAGCTGCCCCCCCAGGTCGAGGCTTTTCTTCGGACTGCCTCGAGCTAGGTCTGGGGTTTGCTCTGGTTCTCCTTTTGTTTGCTTCGGGTGCGGGAGCCTAACTCCGAACCTTTTTCGCAATAATGGCCCTGGTGCTTCGGAACCCCTCGAGAAGGGTAAACGTCACGTCCGTTCAATCACCATGCTGACGTGGCCTTTTATTTGAATGGGTGAACCTGGGCCACTCGATCGTGACTCCTTAGCTTCCCGTCCTTCCCCTAACCATCGGATCAAGCCCCTGTGCTTCCATCATTAGATGTGTACGTACCTGATCGGACGGCTGGGGGTCGAGGACCTTTGGATAATATAAATGGTCTCTTCGTGTCTGCATCATTCGAAACCATCTTCAAGCAGTTGAAACTCTGCAAAAATCTTTCCAAGATCACATCTTGCTCCAGCAACATTTATCTCAAGAGCTCGTGTACCTCTTCCACTCCTGATTCCCTGGTAAGCATCCTTCAAACTTCCTTTCCAATTATTTTGTTTATCGCGCCTGGAACATTGTAGATTGTTTCCTAAGTGGTGGGAATAGTTAGGAATGACGTGACAGGAAATGTTGGAACCTGATTTTGACATTATCCGCCATGTCCTGGACTGGCTATAGGAATTTTAAGTGAGTCTGGGTTTCTTGTTTGGCATTCTGGGTTAGTTTGAATGGTCATCGCTTTGTTTGAGTAGTCTCCGGTTAGTTCATGCCCAGGCCCGAACCGTCGTCGCTTTAACCTTTCAACTTTAACCGATTTGATCTTTAAGCGCCGAATTGTCTTCCCTTCCCCTCTTGACTTATAGGAACCGACCTTAGATTTTTCCTTTACAGTAATGGCTTCTAGAGGGATTAAACGTCTAGGGGAATCATCTTTCGTGCCTCTCGTGAGGCCAGATCCAACCCCAACTGCCGAGTCTTCTTCTTATTCTACCACCAGCGATTCACTTCTGATGGAGGTCGAGGGCTATGCCCCTGATCCACGTGATGAAGAGGACAGCGTCAATCGCCTGGTCGAAGGTGAAACCGAGGGGATGGCTCTTCCAGTGGCGCCGACTCCCTAGTGGGAGGCGTTATGTTCGGCAATAGCGGCCGACAGATGGGCGTCCCTGTGGCCTCAATAGGGGCAGACGAGGACCGTCCATCCTTCACTGCCGACTTCGTGGTACCGAAGACATGGAAGAGGGATATTGTTCGCGCATACAAGAAGGGGCGCGTGGACGGCCGGTGGTTCGAGTATCTCCTACCGGATCCCTACTTTAGGGTGAGCCAACACCCCCGGGCTATATGTCTGTATACACCCGAGCCTTCATGGCGGGGATGACACTCCCCATACACCCGTTCGTAAAGTCCTTATGTGACCTCCACGGCATTTCCCCCACACAGCTGGCCCTGAACTTTTGGTATATTTTTGCCAGTATGTGGGTCTTTTGGGACCAAAGGTTTGACGTAGACCTGCCTTTGGATGAATTTCTTTTTGTATATAAGCTTTGCCAGATCCGTAGGTGTGACGGTTAGTATTTTTTAAGTGGTCATGGGCGATCCAAGCCTATCTTAGGAAAATTAATAAAGGGGTTGCCCTCATCGTCACATGCCTGGAAGCCGATGTTTTTTATGGTGAAAGGCATGTTCGACGTTCACCCAGCTGACAAACCCTTTAAGCGCCTGGGTGTGAAAACATCTTTTGGGACACTGAGTGAGTTTCCTTCGACCGTCTATTACAGCGGTCACTGTTATTTCTTTTCTTTTGTATATACTGCTGACCCTATTTTACTCTGCAGTTCCCCAGGACCGTCCCCAACTTTCTGGGAATCATCTTGCAAGGGTGAAGCAAGCCTTCAGCTACCCGGAGACGTTCCGTAACGTCAGCGTCCTGCTAACGCGTGACAACTAGGAAAGTTCTGGCCTGTTGCTTTTCCTTCCTTCCCCTGACAACACCGCTGAGGTCAAAGATTTCTTCAACTTCACAGCCGGAGGTTAGTGTTTTTTTTCTTTGACTTCACATCACGTGTCGCTGGTATGTGTTTCTGACTTCAATTGTGATGTTGAGATGAAGACCCTGCAACTGCGCGTTCCTGGCGAGAATGGGCGTTCTAAGAAGTAGAGGCCTAGCGAAAGGCCGAGCGAACCTACTTCGGCCAGTGTCCCGCTGAGGCCTTCACCTACGGTTGAACCTCCAGCTACCCGGGAGACACTAAGGCCGAAGAGGCCTCGATCGACTGAGGCGCCGGCGGTGGAGGCTGAGCCATCGTCGGTAATTGATATTACTGATGCTCCTGAGGCCCCACTGCCCAAAGAACGTTTGCTGCTTCCCGGGGCAAGGGTCCTCGATCCACAGTTCATCATTGTTGATGTTCCCCTGGCCAAGATTGAAGCAGCACTGAGTCTGCCCCGGCGCTTTTTCGTCGTCTTCCAAGCTTTATACGAGTCCTTTTTCGAGCAGGACTGGGAGAGTGCGACTCGGGCTTCTCTAATCGGCCGCACGCACCAACAGATCTCTCTCCAGATCCATGTATACTTCATCGTCTATATGTTATATGCATTTTTGTTTCTCTCCTTTTTTTATTAACAGATTCCTTTTGATTTGGTATTCCATTGTCCTCTCTCTTCTTAACTTTATCGATATGGTTAAGGTGGAAGAGAGAAGTAGGGGAATGGACCGCATCGAGGGGCGCTTGAAGGCTCTCCTCAAAAAGGAGAGAGATAGTAAGGAGGAGACCTTAAAGAAGCTTACCATCGCCGTCAAGGAGCTAGATGAGGTGAAAGCAGTTCTGGACTGCGTCCGGAAGGAAATTGAGCTCGTCCGTAAGCAAGCTGCAGACTCTAAGGATGTCTTCCGAAAGGAGGGATACAGCCTAGGCAAGCAGGTTGGCTACAACCTGGGCAAGGATGAGGGAGTCAAGGAATTTGTTGCTTCTGCCGAGTTCGCTCGAAATAACGTAGATGTTGCTGCTAAGGCCGTCGAGGATT